GTGAGGCTGACTGGTCTGTAGTTCTCTGGATCCTCATTTTTCTCTTTCTTAAATATGGGCACTATGTTTGCCCTTCTCCAGTCATCTGGGGCCTCTCCTGATAGCCATGAGTTTTCCAAGATTATGGCCAGTAGCTCTGTAATCTCATCATCTGACTCCCTCAGCACCCTTGGGTGCATCCCATCTGGCCCCGTGTATTTGTATATGTCCAGCTTTTCTAAATAGTCCCTAACCTGTTCTTTTGTCACTGTTGGCTGCTCGTCTCCTCTCCAAACTGTGCTGCCGGGTGCAGTAGTCTGAGAAGTGACCTTGCCTATGAAGAGTGAAGCAAAAAAGGCATTGAGCACTTCAGCCTTTTCTGCATCCTCTATCACAAAGCTTCCTCGCCCATTCAGTAAGGGACCCACACTTTCCCTGATCATCCTCTTGCTACCCGACAGATTTGTAGAAACCCTTCTTGTTACCCTTCACATCCCCTGCTAGCTGCAGCTCCAATTACACTTTGACCTTCCCGACTTCATCCCTGCATGCCCGAGCAAATGCTCTTATACTTCTCCCTAGTTATTTGTCCAAGTTTCCACTTCTTATAAGTGTCCTTTTTGTGATTTAGTTTACTGAAGAGTTCCCTGCTAAGCCAAGCTGGTCTCCTGCCATACTTGCTAGTCTTCCTGCACATCAGGATAGTTTGTTTCTGCACTCTCATTAGGCTTCTTTAAAACACAGCCAGCTCTTCTGGACTCTTCTCCCTATCAGACTGGCTCTCCAGGGGATCCTGCCTATGAGTTCCCTGAGTCAGCTGAAGTCTTCTTTTCTGAAGTCCAGGGTCTTTACTCTGCTACTCTTCTTCCTTTCTTTCCTCAGGATCCTGAACTCATCATCTCATGGTTGCTGCTGCCCAAGTTGCCATCCACTACTGCATTCCCCACCAATTCATCCCTGTTTGTGAATAGCAGGTCAAGAAGAGCATGGCCCCTAGTTGGCCGCTCCAGCACTTGCACCAGGAAGTTGCCCCCAACACTCCCCAAAAAGTTCCTGGATTGCCTGCACACTGCTGTATTGCCCTCCCAGCAGATGTCAGGGTGATCAAAGTCCCCCATGAGAACCAGGGCTTGTGATCAGGAAACTTCCACTAGCTGTTTGAAGAAAGTCTCATCCACCACTTCCTCCTGGTCTGGTGGTCTATAGCAGATCCCCACCACAACATCACCCTTATTGTTCTCCCATCTGCTGGCTGCATGTCCATGGAGGTCTCTTATTGCATAGCCAATCAGTGCATTTTGGGTTCTGTGAGCTTTAAAGCAGTACATGTAGATCAACTGAGTTCAACTGTGCCTGTTTCTGTTCTCCCCTTTAAACATTCTTCTCTTATTAAAAGGGTTGCCTTTGGGCTTGTTGAACAAATTATATTCATGGGGCAAGCCTTTTTGACAGACATGCTGCAAATTAGCCATGCATCCTCCCCAAGTACTGCTCTGGTCCCCTTCCCCTGCCTGATCTGCTGCCCTGCTTTCTGACCTCAGCCCTGTGCTCCCTTCTCGATCTGCTGCTCTGCTTTCTGCTTTTCCCCCTGTACTCCCTGCTTGACTTGCTGCTTTGCTTTCTGCTTCCGATCCCCTCCCTGATCTGCTGCATGTCACACACAGAAGCTGCCCGTGTCACTTGTGGCACCCGTGCTGCAGGCTGACCACACCTGACTTAGACAATGAAATCTGCATGCGATTATTCAGTGATAAATGCTTCCTTGTGGTGTATACACGTAACAAGGAGCAGCAATAGCAGTGACGGGCATTAAATTGTATGATTCACTGGCTGGACAGCAGTGATTATAAGGAAGAAAATGCATTTAGACAGTGGTAGAGGTAGGAGTTGTCAGAACAGCCAGAGTCGAATTCTTTTATATTAGGACTCAAATAATGGGAAGGTCAAGATGCATTGGATCTGAGAGCTTGGAGCTATTTTAAGGACAATGGTCTGGCAGCAGACACTCAGTATTCTGAGAATTTGGGACATCTCTAGCACAGATGTTCCTCTGCCTTCTGTAAAATACAACGGAAGACATGATTTCCTTGAGATTCCCCATTTCTTTTGACTCTGCACAAGAAATTCTCTCTCCTGCTTAATTTCCTTGCACTAAAACTGTATATTCTGATCTGAATCCAGTAAATTGGAAGCTGCAGCAATTAATCCTTTGATTAAATTAAAAACCATCTTGGTTCATCTCTGAGATCATGGACTAAACTGGTTCCTGGGATATGATTATAGGAACGTGTGGTGCATTTGGAGTAGCAATCCTGCTGTGGGTTCAGCAGAAAGCACTGTTGATATGTTTATAGCACTGAGGCTGCACTGTAATCAGTGTAAGGACGAGTGAGCTATTTGCCTTTGTAAAAGCTGACTGTGGCATCTCACTTCGAAGCTGTGTTTAGGGTCATGATGGGAGGCTCCTGGGCACAATATTCTGTTTGTCAGATGAGCCAGGAGTGGGGAAGGGGCATTTGCCATTTGATTGTTCTTCACAGCTGGAGTTAGCTGCTACTGCTGAATTTGCTTTTGATATGGTGCCAATTGTTTCCATCTGCAGGTGGAAAAGCGTTTGGAGCTGGTGAAGCAGGTTTCCCACAGCACTCACAAGAAGCTGACAGCATGTCTGCAGGGCCAGCAAGGGGTGGATGCCGACAAGCGCTCAGTAAGGGGTTCATTTAAGATGTTCAGCTGCAAGCAGCCAAATGTTAAACACAAGATGTGTCTGGATTGGGGTTTTTTTTTCCTTAGTCCAAGTGAGCTGTCTTTTGCATCACGGGGAGTCTGCAGAAAATTGAAATGTTGTTTTTCTTTTTCCCTAATTGCATGTAGTTCTGTGTGTGCGTGCACTAGTCTGTTGGGAGCAGGACAAATGTGCACATAAATAAAACTGTGAGAGGTGTGTGAGTAAATATGCTGTGCTATAGAGCACAATTTCAGATTGAATCCACCTTTCCTTTCTTTTTGTCAGCATTATGGCTATAAGCCCAGTGGGGTGGAAGGAATAATGCAGAATGAAGCAGAAGTGAAATGCCACGAGTAGATGTGCTGCTGCCAAAATTTATAGGGGCTGGCCTGTTCTAACTTTCCTGCTCCCTACCAAATTGCTTAATTTATACCGTATTGGTCAGGGAGGAGGACTGGGAATCCTGTGCCTACCTAAATCTTTTCTCCCTGCATGGGTTTATCTCTGCCCAGTGGCTAGCATGACTGTTGCCACCCACATTCCCTACAAAGAATGGGGTTGTAGTTTAGATTCAGGTGCTAAATAAAACCTCTATGCAGCATTCATACTCCCATATGTGGTGTTTAATGGCAGTCAGCTTGAGCTGAGAACCTTAGATCTAGCTGCTTCCCAGAGCTCAGGGGGGTTGGCCTCGGGCTTTGGTTTATTTAACCTTTTTTGCTATCTGCCCTGAGCTATCTACCCTGTAAGCTATGAACAATTGCCTGTTTGGACTAATTAGCTAGTATGCCCGCTAGCTCAGGCCTGGACAGATGACAGGTTTACAACAACATTATCAACTTTTACATTGGTGTAAAAAAGAAGACCTAGCATAAACCCCTACAACTTCACCAAAACCAGTGTAGAATTAACCCTGATAGAATCAAGGATAAAACTACACCAGGGTCAATGACACTTGCCTATATCTTATCACAAGTTATCTGCTTAATAGGTAGTTCCTTGTTTCCCTGCCACATAGAGGTAATTGCACCTTTTGTGTGCAACTATCTTTGGAGAGCTGTTTGTACCATCTTGTCTAGGCCCATAGCCAGGATTGCTCTGCATATGCCATGTTAGAGTCCTCTTCCTACCCTTTGCCATGAATTTTGCCAATCCTTTGTGTGCTGTGTGCTTCCTTTGCAGAAGAAGTTACCTTTGACGACACTGGCCCAGTGCTTAATGGAGGGCTCTGCCATTCTAGGGGACGACTCCCTGCTCGGGTAAGCCACGCTAAGGAGGCTCATCTCTCCAGAGGCCCAGGAGGCCTGACTCTTCTCTGCCATGCGCCTTGTGCCATTGCTGTTCCTTGTAGATATGAAATGCCAGCAAGGCAGAATGGCTACCTAGGCTCTTATTCCAGGTTGCCCTTGTTTCTTCTATCTGCCTTAGGGTGGTCTGGGGCTCAGTGGGGAATAGCATTCCCACAAGCTGTCAGCATACTCCTCTGGTCACAGCTTGCTCCTTCTGCAAAGTGGTCTTAGGAGGACATCCCCCTATTGATGTGGGGTGGGGCAAATGGGCACAGCCCATGGCTGAAGCCAACGGGCCAGCCTTTTTGGTGGGCAAGTCACAAATTAGTTCTGCATCCTCCCTGAGTGCCACTCCAGTCCTCTTCCCCTGTTTGATCTGCTGCTCTGCTTTCTCCTCCCATCCCTGTGCTGCTCTGCTTTCTGCTTCCTACCCTATGTTCCACTGTACGACCTGTCCCCACCCTGATCTGCCATGTGCCACACAGTGGCTGCCCAGGCCACTTATGGCACATGCGCCACAGGTTGGCCACCACTGCCCTAAGCTATGATTCCTTGCATTTGGGAGATCAGTCACCAGAAACCTGCTTGGCCAATACCTTCCTGCTCTCCCTCTCAACAGCATCCTTTCTATCCTGTGTGAGGGTGTAGAGCCCAGCCATTCAGCCTGCCAACAGACACATCATGCTATGCCCTTGTCTCTCAGTACAATGTGCCTGGAGAAGGCATAGAGTGGACGGAGTTGCTGCCTTCTAGTTCCCCAAACCCTATATTATAGCTTGTCCTCCACTACTGCTAGCCCTCACCAGCTGCAGGGAGCTCTAAAGGAGAGGTGCCCTCAGGATGACCCTTAGACATCTCCACAAAAGAACGTGAGTTGTGCCTGCAGTGGGTATTGTTGCCCTTCATACCCGGCCCCTACCTGTGTGCAGCAGGTAATTGACTTTTCTGAGACTACACACTTGATCATAAGGTCTTGTCTTCCCCCTGCAGCCTTCCTCTTCAAGTGAGAATGTGTTCGTGTAGCCAGTGCTTTCTGAACATCCTTGCCTTGAATCCCAGCCTAGTGGCCTGGGCTTTGTGTGCAAAGGGGTCATTGTTGTCTTTGCTGCTGAGCTTCTGTGCAGCGCATTACATGTTTTTCTTCTTTTGCAGGAAGATGCTCAAATTATGTGGAGAGGCTGAGGATAAATTAGCCCAAGAGCTTATCAATTTTGAGCTGCAAGTAGAAAGGGATGTGATTGAGCCTCTGTTTGTACTAGCAGAGGTAAGAGGGATCTGGGCACTGGGAGGGAAGCTGGGGGCTAGCATGCGGCACCTAAGAGATTGCACTGGCCAATGTGGGGGAGCAATTTTGATGACCTCTGTAGGGTGTACTGGCTCACTTTCAGCCAAAAGCCACTTCTGTGTTGGGTACTTTTTAAGGCTTGGTTGGGGGAAAATCAAAAGTGTGAGAGAAACGTGGGAATTCCTTTAAAAAGTGATTGGGAGTGAGCACGCATAAACTGTAAGTGGTGCACTCAGCCTCAGACTTCCTCTTCCCTGTTGTCTGCGCCAGATGCTCCTCTAGAGCTTGACATAGCTCTATCCGGGATCATGGAGAATGTCTGACTGAAGGCAAAGCTGAGAAGGGCTTGCACTGTCCCTTCCTCTATTGAATTTGCAGAATCTGAAGCCTGCAGACAGTTCAGTGGATGTATTGCTGGAAAAAGGGGTATGGGTAGTGCTGGTGACCAGAGCCCTGCTTTAAGCACGATTTTTCCAAATTCTTACAAATGAGAGTGTGAATTTGCAGGCCCAGGCCCTGTCGAAGCTTATGCTCATGGGACTATTCCTTTATTCACAGAGGTGCACACACTCGGCACTGCTCCACCACTTGACACACCCTCCCTAAGTGCAGGAGGAGAGAGCTTCTCTAGGCCAGTTGGCCTTTGGTTTCTCTATTAAAAAATGAGGCCAGTTAGACTCACCTGCTGTGATGAAGGTACTGCCAGTGACACCTGGGGTTGTGAGTTGCATGCAGACAAACAGTTCCTTTCAGATCAACCTCCAAACTTTCACCAGAGAGTTGTCAACATAGAATTTATGATCCAGCCCTCCTACACCACTGGAAACAGGCCCTCGGGACATCACAGCCCATGTTTAGATTCCTGTGACCAGGTGTTGAGAGACTCCATGTCTCCCCCAGGTTATGTGCTCACAAGTGGGTGAGTGCCCAGTGTTCAGACTTGAAGATGGAAGATGAGATTTTGACACTTCCTGCCGTAATAAATAATAAATACCTATCATTGTGCATATGTGTTTCTCCCAGGTTGTTTTCCCCCTGCTCTTCACCAGCCTTTATGTGTTCAAATCCTTTGTTTATCTCATTATGCTTTCAAGTATTCTATGAATAATTATTAAGTAGTCACACTATATATTAAGGTCCCATTTGTAAATAGTTC